TGAATGAGAACTTAGTTTAGTACTCGCATGCTGTGACAGCCGCTTTCTGTCCGTGTGCTTCAGATGTGAGCACTCAGAAATCCGTATATCAGAAGTTTAAACTCATATGGTTTAAAACGTATGATTTCATCGCGATAAACATAATAATCAGAACCAAAACAGATGTTTTTAACAGGTATGAGCTGTAATGGCGCAGCTCTATTCTGGAAAAGCGGGCGGGGAGCAGCAGCTTATTTGCATTTAAAGAGACAGGCACGAAAAAAAACAGCTGTTTCTGCTTCCACTCAAAATAGGCGTTTTCAATATGATATAAGAAATGATCTGTGGGGTATTTTGAGTTGAAACTTCACAGACACCTTCTGGTGACACCAGAGACTTCTATCTATCTATCTATCTATCTATATATATATATATATATATATACTGTTTTATCTCTTTTAGGTAATAATATATTATTATAATAATTATTACATAATTATAATTATCTAAACTTTAGTATCAAAATTTTGTGTTTTGCAAAGTTTGCTGCTTAAGCTGTTGTGGTGTTCATTCACATTGTTTCTAGATTATTGTGTAGAGTGATCAGATGCATTTTAAATAATTGCTAAAAACTTCATTGGCCAAAAAATGAATTTTTCACAAAAAAAAATAATTTCACTGTTTGAATTGCAGAGGTTATGAAGAACAAGGGTCAACACTGTAAATATTGACTCATATATTTTTTGCCAATAAAAGCCTTTAAAACTTATATGCTTATCATTGTTTTTCAGAATACCATAGAAACGTGGAAAAATTATCTACAGATACTGAAGCAGCAAACTTTGCAACACACAAAATTTATGTCACTGCCAAAACTTTTGCATATACATGTCATTGCATTAGATAACAGATGATGAAAAAATCTATATCTTATAAGATCTAATATTTACCTAACATTTATATATTTCTATTATTTCCTATATTATATCAAATGTTAAAGAAATATGTCACAAGCACACTTTAAGCAATACATTTTACTAAAGGTTTGTTAGGTTGTAAACAATAGATTTGGTGTTTAAAATGAAAGGGAAAAATGAAGAAAAAGCAGTTGCTGTTTGAAATTAATCCATTTTTAAATCTAATGCAAAGCTATTTATACATTATACATACATTTATAAGTAGGTTTATGCCTTAAATGTCTCAATTTGTTTTGGGACCAAGTATTGCTCTAAATAATTAACTTTCCAAATTTTGCTTTGTCCTACTTTGGATTTAATTCATCAAGAGTCTCGCTTCTTCATGTCTCTAATTTTTTGTGTCATGCATAAACTATTCATGATTGTCCACACCATAGTCATTTGGAATTGGAATCAGCCTTCTCTCTTTTTACTGCTATTTTTGTTGACTTTTCTGTGCTCACAACCGTTTTCCTCTGTCTTTTCCCGCAGGAATGACATGTCAAGCCCGCAGCTCATACCTGAACTCAGAGGTGCTTTGGGGAGAACGTTTCACCCCTGTTCTCTCGCTGGAGGAGGGATTTTACGAGGTGGATTATGACACTTTCCACCACACCTACCCCACACCAACCCCTTCCTGCTCCGCTCGGGAGCTTGCAGAACTGGCAAAGAAAGGGGAAGCTATTCCTTTGCCCCCTATTTCTCCTCCAGCAACCCTGGGAGAGCCCCCAAGCCCAGAGGAGATGCCTGAGGAGAAGGCCAAGGCAGAAGAAGAAGAAGCAGAAGAGACTGTTAGCAATGGTGATGTGAACAGAATGGAGTGTGTGCAAGAATGAGTTCACGCATTGCAATCTCCAGTCTTTTGCTGCCCCTGTGTGGCAGATGGAAATATAAGGAGATACAAAAACGCACTTCAGCCGCATAAACGCCATATAAACTGAGGAATAGTTACAAATCTATAGGTCTACATTTTGTCATTGACCCCACACTGGTACTGTTATTAACTGTTTTCAAGAATAAAACAACGTGCATAATGGTAAAGTTTTTAAACTTTAGTGCAAAAATGCTTAAAAAAACCTCTTTCAGCTTGAATTGATTTAAATAAGATGTATATATTCGCAGCTTTGTACTGTGATTGCTTAACCCGCTACTGAGCTTGCATTATTGCTTTTGAGGTTTATAAGTATTTTTTGAATCCAGTTTATAGAGATTAAGATTAAGCTTATAGCTATACACTACAGCATTTTATGAAAGCTTGTTTCTGCCACAGGATAACAAAAAAAGGGGGAATTGCGACTTTATCTCACAACTGACTTTTTCTCTTGCAATTCTGAGAAAAAAAGTCAGAATTGTGAGGTATACGGTCTGAATCGTGAGATTCTGAGGAAAAATAAGTAATTAACAAAAAAGTCGCAATTAACTTTATTTTTATTCCGTGAACAACAACAAAATGTATGGAAGCTTGTTTCTACCATGAGATAAAAAAGATTAAAAAAGGTAATTGTTAACTAATTCTAACTTTTTTCTCACAATTCGAATATAAACTGTAAACTGAGAGAGATAAATTAATAATTCTGAGAAAAAAAAGAATTGAGGTGTTAACTGGAAATGGCAAGAAAAAGGTAAGAATTGCAAGATGTAATTAGTGCGATTAAAAGTTGCAATTACATTTTATATTTTAAATTTCATGGTTGAAAAAAAAACAGAATTGCGAGATGTAAACTGAATTGCGAGGGGAAAAAAGGTCAGATTTTTTAATTTATATCTCACAATTATGACTATTTTTCCTCAGAATACCAAGAAAAGAAGTCTGAATTGTGAGATAAAAGTTGCAAGTTCCTGTATTGATTTATTTTGCATTTTTTATCTCATGGCAGAAACAAGCTTAGGCTACCTAGCATTTTCTGTGTGAAACTGCTGGTTAAAAAAAAAAAAACACACGTTTTTCATTTCATTAAAGAAGGACATTGCATTCCCTATAAAGGGTGTGTTGAATATGCATAGAATATGCTTAAAATTGCACATCATGTCTGAAACTATATAGAAAACTGTAAAGAATATAATTTCTGAAACAAGTGGATTTTCTGTGTTAGCAAACCGCGACCTCTGCTGTTAGCAGACCTCACAAATGACCAGACGGAATGAGTGAGTTTTGCCAAAGGGTTAATTGTGGGAAATAATTATTTAATTTCTTCGAATGACAGATATGTAACACAAACACTAACAGTTGGATATTAACACCCAACAAACAGAACGCACAATGTAATTGTTTCTTGTTCATTTTATTTGAAATGTACTGTTGCTACTAGGCTATTTGGTTAATCGAGTCATATTCAATATCTTCTGTCTATCATTAATATTTCTGCTGGAGAAACACCCTCACTGTTATTTATAGCTCTTCTTTCGTTTTTTGTTTGTTTTGTTCAGTAAGTTTTTTTTTAAACACCAGATTTAATCAAATGTTTCTGTTTTATTTTACAATAAAGTGATTAAAATAAAAGATTATCCTTCTCAGACACTCAGTTTCTATGAGAATATGAAATAAGAATTACAATGTGAAACAACATCTACAACCCCTTGCAAAAAAAACCGATTTAAAACGGTTTGTCTTAATCCAGCTCAGTCTACAGTGTATTTTGTCAACTGTTACACCTAATATTATCATATGCAGTGGTATAAGCAATTAAAGCAAGTCCTGTTGGGCTCATTGTTTAATGCATGGCAGAGTATATAATAATAATAATTTATGCATTTAGCAGACGCTTTTATCCAAAGCGACTTACAGAACAATTCAGGCTATACATTTTTTTACCAGTATGTGTGTTCCCTGGGAATTGAACCCACAACCTTTTGCGCTGCTAACGCAATGCCCTGCCACTGAGCCACAGGAACTCTGTATATATACATTGTATATAAACAATGTTTTCTAATCACATCCCCTATGACTTCCAGTTACTTACACAAAGAAGTTTTTAAGAGTGAGATTAACTGCTCTCCATGGCCTCTAAACTACTAGAACTGATTTTTTTAAGGAATAGTGAATAATGCAAAGTACATTCGTCTACATATTTCCTCCCTCAAAGAAATTTCCCAGTAACCTTGCTGCAGAAACTCAGGAAACAAGAACTTTTTCCTGAAAAATGAGCTAATAAGCAACTGCACAGGTTTAGCCTTAAACAAATGTTAAATTAACTATTTTATGCAAGGATGCTTTAAATGGACCAAAAGTGATGATAAAGACATTTATAAAGTTACAAAAGATTTATATTTCAGAAAAATGCTGTTCCTGAACTTTCTATTCATCAACGGAACCTGAAAAAATTCTACTCAGCATAATAATAACAATAAATGTTTTTTGAGCAGCAAATCAGAACATTAGAATGATTTCTGAAGGATCGTGTGACTGTAGTAGCCTAATGATGCAAAACAATGCTTTGAAATCACAGGAATAAATTACATTTTAAAATATATTCAACTAGAAAACAGCTCATTTATATAGCCTAGTAAAAATATTTCACAATTTTACTGTTTTTGCTGTACTTTGGATCAAATAAATGCAGGCTTGGTGAGCAGAAGAGACTTCTTTAAAAAACATGAAAAATCTTACTGTTCATAAACTTTTGACTGGTAGTGTATGTGTAGTATTGCATACGCTGTAATAAAATAGTATTCCTTGAAACACTGCCAATCACTTGAATGACGAAGTTGCATGATTTTATTGTAGCTGCGAAGTCTCCCACTAGATGGCGGAATAAAGGAGCAAGAGCCACGTTTTTTGGAGGTGCATTGTGGGAAACGACGTCCGACGCACACATGTGGCCACCTGATCAGTGCAGAACAGTCTGGAGCAAAAGCAGCGGCAGCTGTTTGTATAATTAAAACAGGATTATCCATACATAATAAAGTGAAATGAAACCAGGTAAGTTAATAATAGTTTTTTTAGGCATATATGGTTGTTTTCATTGTCGGGCGATAAAATATTAGTGTTTAGAAGTGTTGGTTTTGCTCGCGTGTAAGCATGCCGGCCAAGTTAGCCACGCGCTAAAAGTTTTAGTGCACGAAACGCTCTGTCTCTGAAATGTAATGACATTGTATATTTCTAAACATATTAGGGTGGTCATACTGTGTTACATATAAACATATTATGAAAATGTTGTTTTAATTTAGGCTATAATATTTCTTGCGGTGCATAACATTGCGCGTTTGAGCAACCGAGCCATGCTGCGCACGCGGTGCGGAAGCTCCACATGGCTTTTCACTAGATACGCTTTTGTTTCTAAAATCAGACTAGTTTACTAAGTTTTTTTGTTTTTTTTTTTCATTTGATTTTATCTGGACATTGTGCACAGGAGTGTTTTCATAGGCGAGTTTCCACACATTGTTGAGGACCACATGGGTTTAGGAAATTACCTTGTCTGACAGACCATGTTCATGTGGAAAACCAAGTAAAAACGAATAGCTTTGGTTTAGTCGACAACCTGTAACAAAAACATATTACACACACAAACTAAAGTTACCAGTGAATGGATTTAAACTTTGTATACAGTTAGTTGTGGAGTCTAGTGGTTGAGGACATTTAAACACCAGGGATCTGTTGGTATCCTTGGTTCTAATTAATATGGTCTCTAATGGCATTTTTTTGTGAGAACAGTCATAACTAAAGGCTTTTCTAATATTAGGTGTTAGTTAAAGCTGACTACAGTTTGAAGCCATTTAATGGTGTGATATTTGATTACAGTATACTTTTTGCCATAAAGTCTTAATGTGATCCATTCAGTGAATTAATATATTTGACTCCTTTTGACAGAATTCAGCCCAAGAGGAGGTGGCCGAGGAGGCTTTGGAGGAAGAGGAGGAGGCTTTGGAGGAAGAGGAGGAGGCTTTGGAGGAAGAGGGGGAGGCTTTGGAGGAAGAGGAGGAGGAGGAGGAGACCGGGGTGGAAGAGGAGGATTTCGAGGAGGTAGAGGTGGTGGCGGTAAGCAAGTTTGTTTGTTTGTTTGTTTGTTTTTCTTTTCATTATATTTCCTTTATATATGTAATTCTGGTGTTGTATGTTATTGCTTGTAACATTTGGCTAATACATGGAAGTGTTAGTGTTAGTTGGTGTGTATGTTTATGTATACAAACACACGCATAAATATATTTGACCCTGGACCACAAAACCAGTCATATGGGTACATTTTTTGAAATTGAGAATTATACGTCATCTGAAAGCTGAATAAATAAACTTTCCGTTGATGTATGGTTTGTTAGGACAGGACAATATTTGGCCGAGATACGACTATTTGAAAATCTGAAAATATTGAGAAAATCGCCTTTAGAGATTTATACATCATCTGACAGCTGAATAAATAAGCTTTCCATTGATGTATGGTTTGTTAGGATCGTACAATATTTGGCCGAGATACAACTATTTGAAAATCTGGAATCTGAGGGTGAAAAAAAAAATCCAAATGTTGAGAAAATCGCCTTTAAAGTTGTCCAAATGAAGTTCTTACCAATGCACATTACTTATCAAAAATTAAGTTTTGATATATTTACGGTAGGATATTTACAAAATATCTTAATGGAACATGATCTTTTATTAATATTCTTATGATTTTTGGCATGAAAGAAAAATCGGTAATTTTGACCCATACAATGTATTGTTGGCTATTGCTACAAATATACCCTTGCTACTTATGACTGGTTTTGTGGTCACATATACATATACACATACGTACATACACATTGCCATTGAAAATTTTGGGATCAGTATGATTTGTAAGGTTTTCTAAAGAAGTCTTTTCTGCACATCAAGGCTGCATTTATTTGGTCATAAATACAGAAAAAAAACTGTAATATTGTGAAATATTCTAATATGCTGAAAATATTAATATGCTGATTTATTTTCAGTGTTGGAAACAGTTGTAATACTTTTTTCAGGATTCTTTGATGAATAAAAAGTTAAAGGTCCCATATTGTACACCTTTCTGGAATTTTATTTGAGGTTTTGATGTCCTTAAGAATATATATTTGCGGTATAAGTACCAAAACCTTCTCAATACATTTTTACAGCTCCTCTCAGGAGCTCTGCTGAGAACAGGTCGATTTTGGCCTGTCTAATTAATATTCATTAGCCTCTCTTCTGATTGGCCTGTTGTGTTCTGGACTGGACAGAAACGATCGTCAAAAATGCTCGCGTTTGCAGCGCACACTTCTTATCAGAAAAGGTTCAATAAAGTATTGTCTTTTGTTATGGGCGCGTCTACAGATTTCTTGCCAGATGTCTATGTTTCTTGCATCTCACGACTATGTCGTGTATGAAATAATGTCTGTGTGCATGTGTGTAAAACAACAAACTGACGATTTATATATAATCATTTGTAATTGTATATATATTGTTGTGATTAACTGTGGCTGGAACAATAATGTAGCTGTAAAAATAGTTGCCTGCTGAAATTGAATTAAGCAGGCTGTGTGAATTTTACTGTGGACTGACTGTTTTGAAACTTATATGGTAGTTAAATAGCCCCTAGACCTCAGTAATCGTGAAAAAAGCCAGGAAATTTCAGTTTTGACAGTATGGGACCTTTAAAAGAACAGCATTTGTTTAAAATATAATTTTTTTTGTAATATACAATACTGTTTAAAACTTTGGGGTCAGTATTTATTTATTTTTTTAAATTTCTTTAAAAAAAACTAAATATTTTTATTCAGCAAGGATTTGTTAAATTGATACAACGTAATAGTAAAGACTTATATTGTTAGAAAAGATTTCTATTTTGAACAAATGCTGTTCTTTCTAACGTTTAGTCATCAAAAAAAAAAAAAAAAAGAATCCTGAAAAAGTATCACAGGTTCCAAACAAATATGAAGCATCACAGCTGTTTCCAACATTGATAATAAATCAGCATATTAGAATGATTTCCGAAGGATCATGTGACACTGAAGACCAGAGTAAAGATGCTAAAAATTCAGCTTTGATCACAGGAATGAATTAAATTTTAAAGTACATTAAAATAGAAAACCGGTATTTTAAATTATATAATCAAATACAATTTCAGGTAAAAATGCTTTTTATTAATGCTAAATATTTAAATATCGTGTATAGTCAATATTTCTGTGCTTTAAATAAACTTTTTGTTTTCTAGTTTAGTATGCAAGAAAATTTGACATTGTATTTCCATTCATTTTAATTTCTGTATCTCTTGTTTGATAAAGGTGGAGGATTTAGGTCCCCTGGAGGTGATGGTGGCTTCCGTGGACGAGGGGGCGGACGTGGCACTCCTAGAGGCCGGGGAGGAAGAGGAGGGTTCAGGGGGGGCAAACAGGTGACTGTAGAGCCCCATAGACATGAAGGTGGGTCATCAACGTCACATTTTTGAGTTGCTGTTGATTCTGAGAATGTGTTAAACAACCATGTTCTGTTTAAAAATTCAGGGGTTTTTATCTGCCGTGGTAAAGAGGACGCCCTGGTCACAAAGAACATGGTGGTTGGAGAATCTGTGTATGGAGAAAAGAGAATAAATGTTGAGGTGAGCCTATAGAAGCATGCCTTTAATGTTCACTAGAGCAGTGTTTCCCAACCTTTTTGTTTTGTCGCGGCACCCTTTGGAAATTTTAAAAATTGTGGCACCCTACAAAATTAATTTTGTCACAATACTTGAATTTCTAACTGCGATATGATACTTTGAAAAGTATAGATATTCAGTACAGCAGGGAAGAACTGCAGAATATACTGTCATACAGATATTTTTAGTATTATTACATTTGTTTGTCCATCAATGGTGGCAATCAGTAGGCTAATTTCTAATGAAGAGACCAATTTATATGACAGATTTTAATGTAGGCTTTTATTCATATGTAAACATTGTTTAATTACCATTATAACTAGCTATCTCACAAATTTTTGCTCACTCAGTGTATTTTTGATTTTACAGTGGGGTAATTTTGTTGCAGTTGCATGATTTCAAACTTTGAATTGAATAAAAAATGTCAAGTTAGCAGTCAGTAATAAAATAAGAACAAATAAATAAATTATTAATGATAGCACAAATAAAAAAATAACGATAGGCCTACAAATTAAATATATTGCTTTTTAGTTTTTCAGGTAGGTCTAACAGTAGGGGTATTAAGAGATTTAGTTGTTTTTTTTTAATTTTTTATACCAATTATCCAAATAATGTTTAGACCTAGAAAGCTATTATTATCAGAACAAGTGAGCATAACATAGCGGTTAGCAGATCAATGAATGAGAGGGCAGCGTTACCAGAGTTGCCCATATACCACACCATGTTACAACACAGTAGGGCTATTGCAGACAGAAACAATAATGCACTATATAGATGTTTCCTGTCAGCTCGATTTTTGAGTGGACTTTGCTGTTCCGATGAGCATGAATGATATATGAGTGGAGCACTCACATACAGCGGGATGATATGCAGAGCGTCACACCACGTGACAGTGAAACCTGAGCGGTGAACTAATTTTCGGCAGCCAGAATTTCGGTGCATCTCTAATTATTGGTGACATCAGAAATGGATATTATGTAATAGATGCTTTTTTGAAAATTTTAGCAATTTAAAAATATTAAAGTATTTTTTACACTGCACCCCTGCTCTTGACAGACGGCACCCCGGTTGGGAAACACTGCACTAGAGTACCTCTAGAAAGCACTGCATTCATAACATGTTCATTTTTTTTTCTGATGTAAGGAAGGGGAAACTAAAATTGAGTACAGAGCATGGAATCCTTTCCGGTCGAAGCTGGCCGCAGCCATTTTAGGAGGTGTTGACCAGATCCACATTAAGCCAGGAGCGAAGGTCATGTACCTAGGAGCCGCATCAGGAACTACTGTATCCCATGTTTCTGACATTGTTGGACCGGTATGTGTATATCTTTTTATAATTGTTAAGTCCACGTCTGTACAGATCAGCATCAAATATAAAACACTGAAACAATAAAGTGTGCATTTTCTGCATAATACTGTGTATTGTAATAATATAAGCTGCTTTTCCACCGAAATTACCTGGAACAATTTGTCCCAGGAAGCCTCTTTTCGTTTTCATTTAAACATAAGCTATTAATAGCCGCAGAAATGTAGTTCAGGGAACGTGCATACATTACAATGAAACGAAATATTATATCAAACATTGCCTCTTTTCATTTTAACATATTAATAGAATAAAGACCAAAGATTACCTGTTAGATTTACCCAAACGAATCATCTTATCTATATCAAATGTCAGAAGGACTAGCCGAGTTGAGGCTGCTCTCGTTGGGGAAACACGAGCACTGAGCGCCCGCTGATCGTGTGGAGCTCACGTCTCCGAAATCAGCGAAGCACCTTTTCATATAGGTGCTGTCTTTATAAATAAACCACAGATTTGAGTTTTAAACAACTACATTCTCGCCTGAAATACTTTTAAAACTACATTTCATGACACAATAACAGTAATATTTGTAAAAATAATGCGAATAAATGGTGGTTGAAATGCAATGCTGCGTGAACTCTACCAATCAGCATGTTCAGCGCCCAAGTCCCGCCCCTGAAAGTTCCAGACCTTTGAGAAAGTACTACCTTGTGAGCAGGGACTTTTTTTGTGAGCAGGGGCAAATTTTTACCCAGAACTTTATTTCGATCCTGGTTCCTGCAGTGGAAACGGCCCAAAGTCCCTAGTTCCTGGGGAAAGTTCCTGCGGTGGAAAAGGGGCTATAGTTGTCTAAATATAAAGCTGGGACGGCATTTTTACATAGGACAAAAAATTGAGCTCAAACAATGGGAACAATTTACAATTATTCCAATAGCAGTTTATTTTTTTTATAATGTAGCATTTAATAATATTTTGAATTTAATATTTTCAGTTAATTAGAATTTTTGTTGAAGTTTTGGTCATGTTTTGTGCTTTATTTTTATTCTTTTTTTTTTTTCTTTTTTTTTGCTGTTATTTGGCTTTGATTACTTTTTTTATTTGTTTTAGTTTCAGTAATTTGTGTATTTTTATACTTATTTAATTTCTGTTTTATTTGAGCGTTTTTCAGTTACTGAATTATTTTGAATGATTTAGTTTAGTTAACAATTCTGTTTAATAACGTATTAATATGAATTTAAGTTTAATTTCTGGAAGCATTGATTGACATTCTCTGTTTTTTATTCATTTTCTCCTCGTAGGAGGGATTGGTGTATGCTGTCGAGTTCTCCCACAGATCAGGCAGAGACTTGCTGAATGTGGCGAAAAAGAGAACCAACATTATTCCCATCATTGAAGATGCACGACACCCGCACAAATACCGCATGCTTGTTGGTAAGTTCCTGTGATGTGAACATATGAAAGGTAAAGAATGCACATTGCGAGGCGGTTTGATAAAGCACTGCACTGTTTTCTTTCAGGTATGGTGGACGTCATCTTTGCCGACGTTGCTCAGCCTGACCAAACAAGAATCGTCGCCCTCAATGCGCACAATTTCCTGAAGAATGGAGGACATTTTGTTATTTCCATCAAGGTAAAATAAGTATATGCTGTGTTTACATATGTTTTTTCTGCAAGTATTCATCAGTCTTCAGTTGTTAACTTTGTCGTATTTTCTTCCTCAGGCTAACTGCATTGATTCAACAGCCGCCCCTGAGGCAGTGTTTGCATCAGAGGTTAAGAAGATGAGCACTGAGAACATGAAACCTCAGGAGCAGCTGACACTCGAGCCATATGAGAGAGATCACGCAGTTGTTGTGGGAGTCTACAGGTGAATCTTGATGCATGAACTTACAAGAACTATGCAGGAACTTTCATACTTCTAGAAAGCAATTAGGTTGCTTCACCTGCTGCTCTGAAAAGTTTCTTTTATAATTGAGTTGTGCTAAAAGTTTTTTTTTTTTTTTTTTTTTTGCAGACCGCCACCCAAGCAGAAGAAGTAAGGTTTCTCTGTGGAAATTTTCATCACTGTTCACACATCCTTCGTTCTCCTGAAATAACTGCTTCTGCCACTAGATGGACCCATAGTTTGCAGATGACAAAAGACTGATATAAGTGCACCATTTTCTCGTGACCAAGGGGTTGGGAGTGTATCTCTTTTTACCTGATTGGCACAGGCAACATATTCTTTATGGAGTGTAACTCTGCTCCCGTTTTTCCTTTTGTATGATCATCCTCTGTCATGAAATAATATACTGTACTGAGAGATGAATTGTGTTTTGCTTGTAAGAATTATTGGAAGCTAGATGTGTTATGTTAACTAAATCAACAGTTTTCCATAGCATACGTTTGTTTCTTTTGAATATTTTAGTAAAAAATTTTAACAATCAAATTTTTCATTCTTTGTGTTTTGTTTGTACCTCTAAAAGAACGTTTCAAGAAGGTAATTCAAAACTTCTTGTGAAGCTGTTTCAGAAGTATTAGTATAAACCCATATCACCACCTCTTAAAAAAAAAAAGGCTTTTAATACTAATACTTAAGCCAGTCTAAGCTTGTTTGCTGTTTTTCTGGTTTTCTCAGCCTGATCATCTGACAAGTACCCAGAACCCCCTTCTGAAACAAGTAGATACTCCAAACTAGTTTCTGATGAGTTAAATTCCTTTTTCCTTGCAAGGCACTGTGTGAGGCATGTCTTTGCTAGGGAAATTGTTAGTATTCTGAATTAAAGGTTCAGATGCTTCGTTGTCCAGAAGTTCTGTGATCACAAGCAGGCAATTTAAAACTTGAACAATTTTGTAAGTGGATATTCAAAATCAATAAGTTTGTTCAGTTCATTGCTTAAAAATTAAGTTTGAAATATATATAGGAAGTTAATCATCATGATCTCGAACAGAATATCATCTTAATTCTCATGCACATTAATATTGTCTGTTGATGGCCAAATCTGAAATCAAGCTTTATCTGCACCACGTTGATCAAAGGCCTTAAATAATTCTGATAATGCTGCATTGAGATTTTAAAAAGACCTGTGAAAATGAAGTGGTAGATATGGTTTGATGTAATCTCTGTGAACATTTAGTAAATGCAAATGTCACTTTGGTTATCGCTATCATATCAAAATCACAAAATTATTCCTAACGTCTTACAACGTAAAGAAAGACATTAATTTTCTGTCACGTTCTTTTTAAAAGATACGTGTTTTTATGTGTAGAAATCGTGGCCGCAGAATGGAAACAGAACTAAAATGTCAGGAAAAACAACAGGAACCTTCGCTTCTAGGAACCAAGTATGAAGATCTTGCGTGAGGGGGCCAAATATGCGGTTGCACAATGGATAGCAGCATGGACAGCACAAGAAGTGTCAGAAGAACTAAAGAGGAGAAAAAACTGCTTCGAAGGCAGATTAAAGCCAGTCACACATTATTGAAACACGAGGGCATAAGCACAGCGTCACATCCCACCAAGGTACTTAAGAAGCTTCTTTTGATGAATTGTCAGTAGAATATGGATCGATCAAATTACATAGTTGAGTTTGAATAGCCAGTACTGCTGTTTATCTATGTCATCATGTTTGTGTATCTGAATACTAAATACGTTTATTACAGTCTATAACTATATAAGATACTACTGAATATACATACTACATACTCTTTTGTGAATGAATGCAATACAATTGACGGTAAACAGTTATGAAAGATATAAGTGATTTGTGGTTTTTCCAGTTTCACTATCAGTAACTGTGAATTAATAATGGATAAAAGTTGCATGTTTCTGCATATCTCATACAGTAACAAGTCTCTTGGTGAAGTTTGCCAAATGTTTAAATGCCCCATTCTTTCAAATGGTGAAACATGCAGTTCATTGCTTTGCATAAATGGCTCATAAAAGCAGTCAGTGATGTGTATGTTCATGATTGTCTGTTATGTAGCATCTGGTGGTGTCTAATGGAGGTTTGGGGAATGGAGTGAGCAGAGAGTCACTGCTGGAGGTTCTTAAAGAGGGAGGTACTGTCGAGTCTCTCCTCACCCCTCCAGCGAAACCATATGCGTTTGTAACATATTCTTCAACTGAAGCAGGCCAGAATGCATATACACTCCTCAATGGACGAGCACTGCAGTGTCACGATCAAAGTGTGACGCTTTATTTCAGCTATGTTGAGAAAGGTGTGTCACGTGAGTCATATTTATAATCCTATTCAATGAGCCTTAAAACAAAGAGTTTCTAATGGATCTCAACTTTGTTTGTCAGTGGACAGTGACCTGAGTGTGTCCTGTGCTTTGCCTCCTGGTCTGTCAGTGTTGGAGGATTTTGTGTCTCCAGAGGAGGAGCTGCAGCTGCTACAGGCTGTTGATTGGACGCCACGTACTGCTGATGTCACAGGTAAGAGATACTTGACAGTCTCAGTTAGAATTATTATAAATCAGAAAATAAAAAAAATAAAAATCCATTACATTGTTTAATCCTCTTTGTCACATATTCATATATAGCAGACGTATATTCATTTGCTGAAGGCAAACCTATAAACTTATTTAATAGTAATAATAATAATGTTTATTTTTGTGTTGCAGTGCAGAAAGCTTTAAAACACAGAAGAGTGAAGCATTATGGGTATGAGTTTCGGTACGATAATAATAACATTGACAAAGACAAGCCCTTACCAGGTGGTAAGTATGAAAATTCCACATTGTTTGCATTACTTTTTTTATGATGATATGTATGTCTATGTGTGAGTGTTTTTGAAATGTTTTTAAAGAAGTCTCTAATACCCACTTATTACTTAACAAAAACACAGGAAAAACAGTAATTTGTAAAATATAACATGTAAAACAACATCTATTTTAATGTTTTAAAATATAATTTATTAATGTAATGTCTGAATTTTTAGCCTCCATTTACTCTAGTCTTGATTTTTTGTTTTATTATTGTCAATGTTGAAAACATTTGTGCTGCTTAATATTTTAGTGGAAAACATGATACATTTTTGTTTCAGGATTCTTTGATTAATAAAAAGTAAAACAAAAAACCCCTGCATTTATTCAAAATAATATTTTTAAGATTTAAATGTCTTTACTGTTTCTTTTTGATCAATATAATGCATAATTGCTTAATAAAAGTATTCATTTTCTCCAAATATGTGAATGGTAGTGTATATATTTACACCTAATCTAAGTATTATATGTCTAATTAATTCTAAAATTGAATAGACACCTGTCATTTCAGGCCTGCCGGTGGAATGTGATGCTTTATTACAAAGATGTTTGGCTGATGGCCACATAAGTGTCCTTCCAGACCAGCTCACTGTAAACCAATACCAAAGTGGACAAGGTAGTACATCATGTATTTGTGCAGCTGAGGGGAGATTTATGTCTGCTTATAGGACTAAATGTTATTGTCTGGTACAGGGATTCCCCCTCATGTGGACACTCACTCTGCTTTTGAGGATCCCATCCTTTCCTTGAGCCTCGGAGCAAAGGTATGAATAAATTAAGCGCTAAAATGTCAGTAATTATGGATTATCAGGAATATGTTTCTTTTTGGGGATATGCTTGTTTACATTTTTCATACGTTTGTATGAAACACATTAGTGGCTCAAGGTGTTCTGTTACACCAGACCTGTTTGTAGCCTTATTGATTGGTTATGGTGCAGCAACATTATTGATTATCCGATTTTCCTTGGTCAAAACAAAGATAGAGATGGAAAATGAACCTCATGATTTACTTATATGGATAAATATAAACATCGTGCTATTTTCCTATAGACAGTAATGGACTTTAAACATCCTGACGGACGTTCTGTCGCTGTGGTGCTGCCAGAGCGGAGTCTGCTAGTGATGAAAGGAAAGAGCCGTTATCTGTGGACTCACGGGTGAGAAACTGGATTATCTTTTTGTACATATACATTAAATAAAATATATGTACAAATATGTGCAGACAACCAAACACTAAACACCTATATGTTCTTTGGATTTTTGCTTGATTTTGTTTCTCATCATAATAAATATTTAATTAATATTATCATTCAATATGTACAAAAGTATATTATATTATATTATATTATAAATCCTTTGTTCTAGGGAGAGATGAACATGTTTTGTGTATGTTTCATGTCAGCATAACACCTCGGAAATTTGATGTGGTACCAGTGTCGGAGGTTGAAGGGTCAGGGGTCATGACCTCTGACTTGAGTAATCTGACCCTGAAACGTCGTGGTACCAGGACATCTCTGACGTTCCGCAAAATCAGACATATACCCTGCAACTGTGGTGAGTATGTGAAGTATTTGCTTAGGCAAGCAAATATTTGTCATTTCTAAGTACAGTAGCATTTAAGAGTTTGGGCTGAGAAAGATTTATTTTTTATTTTTTCATTAGTACTTTTATTCAACAAGGATGCATTAAAAGTGACAGTAGCAAAGTTTGTATTTTATTTCTATTTTAAATAATTGCTGTTATTTTTAAAGGGATAGTTCACCCAAAAATGAAAATTCTGTCAGTAATTACTCAACCTCATGTCGTTCCAAATCCGTAAAACCTTTATCTTCGGAACACAAATTAAGAAAATTTTGATGAAATCCAAGAGCTCTCTGACTCTGCCATAGACAGCAACACAACTACCAGGTTCAAGGCCCAGAAAGGTAGTAAGGACATCATTAAAATAGTCCATGTGACATCAGTGGTTCAACCGTAATTTTATGAAGCAACAAGATTACTTTTTGTGCAAAAAGAAAACAAAAAAGAACGACTTTATTCAACAATTCTTCTCATCTGTGTCACTTTCTGCTGCGCATTCATGAGACTACCACAACACGTGTGATTGCAAGCTGAGGAATGCACACGCATGCATGAATGGTGGTGGAAACTGACCTGGAAGAGAAGAAATTGTTGAATAAAATCTTTATATATAAATACTTTGCACACAAAAAGTATTCTTGTAGCTTCATAAAATTACGGTTGAACCACTGATGTCACATGGACTATTTTATCGAAGTTACCTTTCTGGGCCTTGAACCTGGTAGTTCCCTTGCTGTCTATGCGGGGTCAGAAAGCTCTCAGATTTCATTAAAAATATCTTAATTTGTGTTCCGAAGATGAACAAAGGTCTTACGGGTTTGGAACGACATGAGGGTGAGTAATTAATGACAATTCTCATTTTTGGGTGAACTATCCCTTTAAGGATCCTGACAAAAATATATCACAGTTTATACAAATATATTAAGCAGCACAAGTGTTTTTAACATTGATGATAATAAGAATTGTTTCATGAGCAACAAATAAGCATACTGGAATGATTTCTGAATGGATCATGTGACACTGAAGACTGAAGTGATGGCTGCTGAAAATTCTGCTTTACCATTACAGTTCAGTTATTTTAAGTTGTAATTACATTTCACAG